TACAGATAGAAAGACTAAGCCTTGCACAGAGGCATGAAAATGCATTTTCAAAACGCTCAACAGTGCTGCCAAAATTATAAACTGACTGCTACACAATTAAAATAAATGCTTTTATATATTTCTATTAGATGTGACTCTTTAGCGTTTCTGTTATTATTACAACTGTTCTGACTGCTAAAATCATCTGTTATTCCTAAATTTAAAGCCGATTTTCCGTGGGGTGGGGTGGTCGGGGGGCTTGGATCCTTGTCACCTTTTTCATACCTGATGAGTTTGCATCCCTGCTGTCTACCTGACTGTCTGTCTGTTTTTGTAATTTGTCTCTTCATCTGTTAATTCCCCTTTTCTTTATTTCTTTCTCTCTTTAGGTGAAGTTAAATCTGTCTTCAAAGAGAAGACAGAGGCGGAGATCAAGTGCTACATACGCCAGAAACTCTCTAATTCGGCGAAGATCCTCAAAATGAAAACATTTTTAAAAAATCAATTTGTTCGGCCACGTTAGGTCATTATGTTTTTTCATGCAATATTGTATGTTCGGTAGTATAAATTAAAAATGTTAATACATGTAAATCCATGTTGAGTCCATGTATTATTTGTATTTGCCTCAGTCCATTATTTTTATTTGATATAGCCTACCATTGTACATTCTACAGTATCTACAGTTTGGTACAGGTGTGACACAAATACAAGAACATATGTATTTACCATGGTAATTGTTATGGTGCCAGGGGTAGTGGGCTATCAAGCCCTCCAACAGCCATATGAAATGTTACCATAGTACTCGTACCATAGTACCATGGTATATTTACCACGGTACATGTACCACAGTATTTTTTGACAGATAGTACCATGGTATATTTTATAGTACCATGATATTTGTTCCATAGCACATATAGTAATGTACCATGGTACATACCATGATTTGTACCATGGTACAATCTGTCAAAAATACCATGGTACATGTACCATGGTAAATATACCATGGTACTATGGTACAAGTACTATGGTAAAATTTCTTATGGGATTACCAAGTCACCATGTGTTTCTTCCTGTGTGTGGGCGTGTGAGCTGCCTGTGTGTCTTTCACTTGGAATGTAAGATCAGTTTCCAGTGAAGTAGGCCATTCACCACATACCAATTTGCCGGGAGTAATTAACTCATTCAGATTCAGAGAAAATCGGAGTAAATGGTTCAGGAAGTAGAGATGAGTAGCACAATCCTAAACATGGACACCAGCACAGCTCAGCTTGTTGCCATAGGAATATTGGCCCATAAATGACCTGAGATATTCATAACTCATTGCCTCCCTCTGCTGGTGTTAATGGAGAGTAAAATCCTTTTAAAACGTTCTTCATACCCTCTTGAAAAATCAATATATTGCATAAAATGTATTATATAATATACTGTCTATGTCTCTCTGTTGTGGGTGCAAGACTAACATATAAAATGTAAGCATGATATGTTTATGTCTGACTTAAATAGGCCTATCTGTTATATTGCATGAATATCTCTAAAGGTACTTTGTGAGTCACTGGCAATCAATACTGAGTTTCATATAGGTGTTTTATTTTCTATAGTATCCAGAGGATGTTACAAAAAATGATCTTGATGAATTTCAGTATACTATGTTTGTAATAATATATAATCTGGTTTATTGAATGTGGGTTTTTGTGTGTGTGTGTGTGTGTGTGTGTGTGTGTGTGTGTGTGTGTGTGTGAGTGTGTGTGTAAAATAATTGATAAAAGAATTGGAGGAAAATTTAGACACCAACATTTTGAAAAATTAATCTTTTATTTTATAATTGTTTTTTTGTGTATTTAGGAAAAACAGATAATAAAGCATCAAAAAAAGTGATTTGCCCAGCTAAGGCATCAAATGTATATTTTCCAATGAAGAATTACCCCTGTTAGTCTAATTATAGAAACAGGTTTGAAAGAAACAGGGTTGAAAATCAATGCTAATTTGAGCTTTAACCTAAGGAATTATTGCTAGATGTAGCATGTAATGCTACTTTCAAGGCAAGGACAAACTTGGATATCTAATGAAAGAAAGATAACTTTGAAATGAATGTGCTTTATTCTGATAATATCAGTAACAGGGTTGAGTGGGTTAGAGTGCCACACTCTTTTAAGACTGAAAAGATTGTAAAAATATGAAAAATAAAAGAGAGGACTTAGTGTTGGTCTACCCATGGCACTAGCACATGAAAAATGCCATTTTAGGGGATGTTCGAGATTTGATCATTTAAATAATATTTTGAAACCACTTTTTCTACAACTCTATATACATTTTGTCTCAAGACAAGTATCCTTAACACAACAAGTGCGTGTTTTAGCTTTTTGGGCATGGCTTATTAGATTTTTTATATGGGGGACATGAAATGTCCTCCAATTCTGGAATGACCAAATAACAAACTATGCTATATCATCACTTTTCTTTTTTGCTAATAGTTTGCTAGATTGTTACTTTTGGAATTATCGGTTAGCTGTTTTGTGTTGCATGTCCACTTTCAAACGTTTACTTTATTTAGTAGGTTGTACCCCTACCAGGCTAGATTTACCAACTGGGTTTCAAAGTAAAATATGCTATCGGCTATAATTTCCTGGTTAAACATAAAATGATTTATATGTGCACATGATGTTTAATGTATAGTAGATAGAGCAGGTGAATATGCAGCAATCATCTCTGGGGCCTTGTTATTTTAGTTATTAATGTACTTGAGTTGTGCATGTTGCTCAACTATTCCCTTTTTAATACCTCAAAACTAAAGACAAAACAATTTATTTCAGGGATTCTTGTGACAACATATATGTTCCGATATTAATTTACAATAACTGACAACAACAAACACAAGTTAAAAGTAATAGCCTGCAGTTAAACTGGCTCTGACGGTGTAGGTCTATTTTTTTAAATATTAACTGTTTGCCTAATAGTTTTATCATAATTATGAAGTAACCCACTCCCTTATCAGTAAAACTGAAAAATTGTGTTTTTTGTGTGAACCTGAAGATGCATGTACAATGTACCTAACGGTAGATGTCTCCCTACTCCGTGCAGCTGTGTATCTTCATGGGTACAATGCTGTATACAGATGACCGAGTCGCCATTTTGAAAGGCAAACCGTTCACAGCACACCCGCCCTGAGTACTGGAACTATGCCGCGGGGCCGGCCTCGCAAACTGAGAGTTAAAAGCAACGACGAAACAGGTAATAAGTACCAAAATGCAACGAATAAAAAATACAGATAATGGCCTATCCAAATAACTGGCTACTGTTTAGATAGGCATCTCTGTATCTTATATAATAACACTTCAATGTAGTGTATATAGTCCCCGGATATAGTATTGCGGGTGGGCTTTGCTTTGCTTTGTGAAGGAGTGATTGAGGCGGAATGATATTAATAAGGTTTCGGTGGCTCTTCTTATTGGCTTCCAGTCTAAATTGGTGTCCGCGAGGGGAAGAACCGCGGTCTCTTTCGTAGTGATAGTAAACGTACAATGTTGTCACTTATTATTTGTTTAATAGTAATTCGTCGTTAGCATGTTGTTGCTAACTAGCTCGCTCTGCTACTGCTAGCGTCAATGCTAACACGCCAACCTTTTGCCATTGTTATTTTGATACTGTGAAGCGTAGCGAGGCTCTCCTGCTACTGATGGATCCGTGGCATTCCGTGCTGCATGACCAAAACAAGTCGTCATTTTCACGTGAAGACATGAAGTGTCGAAATGTGGAACGCATTCATGTGCTGGCAGTTTGGTATTATCTTTAGAAAACCACGATAATATAGCCGAGGTACTGTTTTTGTGACATGTTAGCTGGATAACTTAAATGGTACGCTATTCAACATTTTCCACAGATATATTTGAGCAACTACAATTCGGGAACTAAAACAAAATGTTTGCTTTAAAATAGGGGTTACGTTTGTATTTCATAGTGGATTAATATCAGTCAGTCACATACTGTAGGAATGCCTACGAGTGTGACAGGCAAGATGGATGTGTGGAATCAAACTGTTGAATATCAATAGGCTAACATGTTCACACGAACAATATTTAATATAAACTTTATTTACGTATCACTGCAAAAGCACGAGCTACGAGAGTGAAACCAAATTATTGAATACATACGTTGTTTTCATGTATCTTCAAGTGAGAGAACTACAGTGAAAAAACTTTATTGCATTATGGATACATTTTAAGACTAATACATTATTATATAAAGTACTATTTAAGAGTAAGTTAGGGGCTTTGTTGGTCCTAAGTGAGCTTATATTTGAGGGTTATCACTATTTTAATAGTCACATTTAAAATACTTATTAGGCCTATAGGAAAAATGACAGCAGGCCAAATTATAAGCTAAGTAAAAGTGATGAAATGAAAACAACTTTTCATGCATTCTTTGGCACTATTTCTTCATAGTTAAACTAGGCTATTCCACTTCTGAAATAGCCTGCCTATCCCCCACAATGACAAACCATTCTACTATACCAGAACAAATATATTTAGTATATGTACATGATATGCAATACGTGTACAAATAAGTATTCCATATCTAATTGAGTATGCCAAAAATACAGTAGCATTTTGCAGAAGTCTGCATGCTGTTCTGGCTAATCTCACCCTAAATCCTTTTCACAGTCGATATAATGAGCAAGAGGGTCATAGTTCAACGAGTGCAATGACTGAGTAGTATGTCCCAATTGTATGCATGCTGCATCTAATAGTACATTCAGTACTTTCTAAGGGCAGCTGTAGTACATAGTGGAAATCAAAATAAAATGTTTGCGATTTTCAAAACAGCCTAACATTTGTATAGACTAGTACTATTCTTCTTTGGTATGTTCTAATGCCGAACTTTCTTAGTTTTAAAGGGAGTTTATTCACACAGTTATAGCTACCCTACTACCCATCATATGGGCAACATCTCCCATGAATATTTGTAAGCTTCAATAAAGTCAAAGGCCTATAATGTGCATGCCCCCCCACGTTTGATGAATGCTTTTTGAAGAAAGTTAAAGTTATACTGTCCGACACACACAGAGATTTTCATATTAAAATGTGCGGTTACTTTTTGGCAACTCCGGCCACAAAAATACAGTCAGGATGAAAGTCTTTGGTTTTAGATTTTTTTTTAACATAAAACTACAAAAATAGTAGAAAATGCACCATATATTTATTCTATAATTGCAGTAAAGCCTCTTTAACCAAATGAAGATACTTTATTGTTCTCTCTTGTACTCGATCAGATGCAGATCCCAGTGGCGCTAAGGCGGATCATTTTGGGGAAGATGGAGAGCTCAAGAACAAGAAGTGTACAATTTGCGCCCAGATTTTTACCACGGAGAGCCAACTTCAGAAGCATCTCCGCGAACATGAAATCAATGATAAGGTACGTTCCGGCACCTGGTTAAGAGACAGTGAACACAGCTATTAACCTAATTCATCCAAAACAACATCAGTAGAGTATGTTTTATCTATCATAGGCTTATATTTGTATTCTTACATTACACACATATCTGGCAAGTATAACGAGTTCATTAGAACCTTACTTTTGTATTATTGCTGTCAAAAAGCAGTTTCATATTATTGCAGTTTGGTACAGATGACTTGTGTAACAATGACCCAGCTACAGGTTGGAATTGGGCCAAGCAAGTGCCTTACCGTCAAAGCTTGAGGCGTCCTAGATTTTCAGCTCAGATGATTTTTCACAATGTGGAAGCTGCTGGTAGAGGACATTGTTTATTTGAAAATTTCAGCACAGGTCTACCAATCACATTATTTGGTGGCAGCTGCTTCCAGATCGTCTGCAATGTGCTATTACCAGCAGCATTGTTAGACATCCTCCTGGATTTCTAAATACAAAACACATCTGGCGATATTTACTTATCCATATGCGACTTTGCATTAGAGCCCTAGACATGCTCAATTAACAGGGTTTTTGTTCATTCCGAAGATGTAAATGAGCACAGCTTCGGTTGAGCTGATTAAATAAACTGCACGGGAAATAGGGCTTGATGCTGGGCTTTTTAACTGAGCAAAAAAGCACTAAACATTGTCTGCTCCTGAACTTTGAAGACTCCATTCTGGATGAATGATAAATCAGTGTGTATGAATGGCTGCTTCAGTCATAGGACCATGTTTCTGGAAAAATACCTGAGATAGCTTACGGCAAGAAATGAATAATGTAATCCCTTCTGAATTGTGCCATGAATACGATGTGAAAAGATAACTATGCAACTCAAGAAAGAAAGGGGATACAGTTGAATTATAAGTCTGCAAAAATATTTCACCAAAAAAATAAAATCCTTTATATGAAATCACTTTCTCTCGCTTATAACGATGCATGTGTGTTTCGCACCGGGATGTACTCACACAACAAAAGCGGCTTGCTAGACTATTTTAGCGCAGACTTATAGGGATATTGATCTCTTTCAATAGTCCTGGGAGAACAATGTGAAACGTGCCAAGGTAACTGCCATGTTGGTGTTGACTTTGTGCGAGACGAGAGATGTAGAGTGTATTCACAGAAAAACTAAATGGGTTATGACAAACAGCGACTTTCTTGAAAAAGTTGAGTACCGTACTTTGCCTCTATATATATATTGGATTGGACTTGCTGTGAGCCACTTTGGGGAAATATACATTTTCGTATGACAAGTATACGTACAAAATAATTGTGTTTTAATTCATGTTGAGTAATGCAGATTTCTGAAGTTATTAGGCCTAATTGATGAGTTTTGATATTGGTCTTGTCACCCCTGAGTGTCCTAAGTGCGCCCTCCTCTTTCCGCTCACCAGCTGCAAAAGCTTTTGCAACACACGTCTTTGCCCTATTCCCCCTTTTAAGATCCATTTACACTCCCTTTCTGTCTCTCTGCCTCTCCCTCTCTTACCCACTCTCACACACACATTACACACTGAAGTAATGGGTGTCCACTGTGTTCTATTAGCAGGAAGGTAAGGAAACATTTGATCCCCTCTCAACCGTCTCTTGGAGCATTAGCAGGCGATAACGGGACCCTCCGTTACCTAATTTACAGCTGCACCTGTGGTAGTGGTTCAATCTACATTCACTTAAATATGCACTCTCCAGGCTGAAGAGCAGCCGCCTGGAGGTCTGCCACTCGGAGTCAGACTCACTGGTAACTGCTCCAGGCCTTCATTGCAGACAAAAAGTACTCTTAAGACACTCGGCTACTCTAATGTAATTTAATATTGGGGCCATTTCTTCCTCCCATCGGATATTCTTTAAAAAAAATGCTTTTCTACCTTTGTTGGTCTTTCTGTTACCCCCTCTCACTAGTAAAAGCACAGAAATACAAAGATTATTTATCCCACCTGTTGCTTTTTGATTTGCCGATCATGTTTCTAGGGGACAGTTAAGTTGGACGGAGGGAGGAGCATAGGAAGATAGCTTTACTGGTCCAAAATACATGCAGTTACTTATCCACATAATTAATAGTGTATAGGTCATGTTGAATCTCTTGGTACATCTTTTGGTCTTATCATAGTTGTTTTTTGTCTTTGGTTGTTTTTCCCTTTGTAGTCCTGTTGAGTCTCTTTGAAGTTGCTTTGTGTCTTTTTGTGGTCATTCTGTGTCCCTGTAGTCACTCTTACCTCATTCACACCAACGGTGTTTCAGGGCCGGTTCGGAGCTGGAGCTTGAAAAGCACCGGGTTTTCCTCTTCACACCGCAGCGGAGCAGCCTCTTAGCTCCGGAATCCGGTTCATTTCGAGCACCAAAAAATTGTCCGGCCAGAGCAAAAGCACCACATACGTCACGCTTACGTCGAGGCGGGGGCAGGGGCAGGGGTGCGATCAACTCCTGAACAACAACAAAAAGCCAACGTTTTATCCAGTTTGTACACAACGATGGAGAAACTTAACAAGCAGCAGTGGTCCACTGAAGAGACATGCTACCTACTGGGAATCTGGTCTTCCGAAGAGGCACAGAGGAAGCTGGAGCACAATCGGCCATTGTTGTTGTTGTCGGTGTCAGCTGTGAGGGGTTTCCGCGCGGTTTGGCTTTATGAAGCAGGCACGCAAACGGTTACGTCATGACGCAAACGATGACGCAATGACGCAGCACCAGTCGGACTCTAGGCAGTGTGAAAAGAGCCGGAGCTAAACCGAAGAACCGGTTCTGAACCTGAAAAGCTCTAGCACGGAGCTTGAACCGGAGTTGCGTTGGTCTGAATGAGGTATGTGAGTGTCTTTGTAGTTGTTTTGTGTTCCTTTATTTGTAATTTTGTGGTTGTTAAGCCCCTCTTAATAGTGGTTCCAAATCTCTTTGTAGATTCTTTGAAGCTATGTTTGCATCTCTTGTTAATTGTTTTGGTCTTTTTGAAGCCCATTTTTTTTGCATCATTTTTCTTTATAGATATGATGCGGGCCAGAGAGAGCCTTTATTAATGATACAGTGTTCAAAATGGTATCATATTGCCCAGTTGCGAGCCGTGACTTTTATACCTATAGGCCCTCTGACCCCCACCCCTTCCCTTGAGTTATTACGTCACAGCGTATACTTCAGCGGAATATCAAAACAACGGCCCGGGGTGCAACACACATCAATGAAAGCGACCCTCTACCACACAAAACAACACCTGTAAATAACCCTATTTGTGTTCTTTGATGTGCCTTGGCAGTCTTTGAATTGAAAAGGATATTGCATTGTGTTTGTTACTTTCGTTGCAGTTGTATGTCTTAAGTGTAATTTGGCATGCTTTTATTTTGAAGGCGAGTTAACGCTGTTGACATTAAGTTGTTGTTGCTATGGAAACAAGAAAAGTTTCACAGCGGGCGGAACTTGTCATAAAGTCCGATATGATTGGTCAATTGTACTGTCATTTGACATTACTCTCTCGTTCAGTTACTATAGCTGGGACCTCTGTGAATTCATAGCTGGACCGCCCGTCCTCTTCACAGTAACTCACAGAGACGAGCTTCTTTCATTTAACCCTTCACATTCCAACAGAAACTGAATAGGCAGATTCGAAGGATTTATTTCTTTGGAAATGTTATTTTAAATACAATTAAATCAAGTTATTTTTGGTAAAACTAATGAAAATTTAAAATTTTTTTTTAATGTTTTTAAATATTATTTTGTAGAATATCTTAGGCCCTCACAGAGGGCCTAGAGGGCCTTGAGGGCTCGCCACTGATATTGCGTTATACTTCCACGGGCTCGGTTGTCAAACACAGGTACTTGGCAGCAGATACCGCATATACAGCCAGCTGTAACCACTGAGCATTCTGCTGCCAGTTGTGTGTCTTTTCACAGTTGTTTTGATCCTCTTTGCATCTCTTTTAATCTGCGTTTCATCTCCTTGTAGTTGTTTTGTGTCTCTTTGCAGCTGCTTTTCATCTCCTTGTAGTTGTTTTGTGTCACTTTGCCGCTGCTTTTCATCTCTTTGTAGTTGTTTTGTGTCTCTTTGCAGCTTTTTTGCACTGCTTTAAAGTTGTTTTATGTCTCTTTGCAGGTTTCAAAGTTGAGTTGGTCTCTTTATAGTTGTCTTATGTTCCTTTGTGAGTCATTTAGAGTCTCTTTCAGGATTAAACATGCCTATTTGTATACATTTGTTTGAAGGTGAAGGTAAGTAGTACCCCACACAGTTAGACCCCTTTGGCATGTTCAGTAATTCATCCTTGTGCTCAAGTGAAGGTTGCACTTTAATTTACAAGGATTCCCGTCTCCACCAAAGAAACAGAATTGCCAACAAAAAGCACATGATGCAGAGGGACACATTTGAAATCCTTTACATCCTTAACATTCCCTTCCTTTCATTGAGCTTTTCCTCTCTCTCTTGCAGCCTCATCGATGTGACCAGTGCCCGCAGACATTCAACGTGGAGTTCAACCTCACACTGCACAGGTCCACGCACACAACCTCTGACTTCACATGCCCCGTTTGCACTAAAAGATTCTCACGCATCGCCAGCCTCAAGTCTCATATCATGCTGCACGAGAAGGAGGAGGTTAGTGACCTGACCCTTCCAACATAACACCATCTTTGATTTGAATTCACAACCAGTTACAAAGAAAGAATATCTTTTTCGTTTTTTCAGAATTTGATCTGTGTGGAGTGCGGAGATGAGTTCATTCTTCAGAGCCAGCTGACCTTGCACTTGGAGGAGCACCGCAAAGAGCTGTCGGGCGTCAAGGTCTACACCTGCAAGAGCTGTGACAAAGAATTCAAAACATCCGCACACCTCAAGGAGCACATGAAGAGCCACGTCAAGATGAGGTCAGACGGGGCTGCAAGATGCCCATTTAGATCATTAAACTGTGTCAGGTGGAAAAATTGACTCAAAGGGAAACATGAGTCTAACAGCTGTCGGCCTCTTGTTGTAGGCAATTTACCTCTCTAATATTGATATTGGGGTGTGTAGCTGCTGTACCCACAAACATATCATATTATTTTCCAATTGATATGCCAAATGAATAACAAAGAGGCAGTGTATGTGAGTCACCGAGAAACAGCAGTTAGACCAACAAGAGACAATCATTCTGCCAATAAAAAATACAAAAACAGCTATTTTGTTGGGGAGAAGATAATATTACAATTATTCATTTCACATGAATTGTTTTTCTGGTAATTTTGGCTGTGAAATATACTCACAAGCTGGAATGAACTTCAATCAAAAAGGATACATTGATTTGCCATTCAACAGAGTTGGATCTTTTCTACATTTTCATTGATTTTGATAAGTGGAGGGCCACAGTCTTCAGTGCCGTGTGCAAACTCTCTATAGAGTATTAATAGTTGAAGGTTGACATTAGAACTAAGGTAAAGAAAGGTCCGAGAAACAACAGCAGAAATAACACACAGTTTGGGAGGATGTCTCTGGTACATACAATGTAACCATTGTACTGCAATCCTGCAATACAGTACCTCTAGTATGTGAAATGTAAAAGTTAAAATACATTGTGTATCTTCACTTTTGTTCAAATCCACAAGGAAGAATACTGAAAATATTATAAAAACACTGTGTCTAGGGAGAAATAACTATGTTTTTCTTGCTCTTTCATAACTTATGTTTTTATTTTAATTTAATTAATATTGATAATAATATTAGTAATAAAACAAGGATGAATAGCCAAAACAATTATAAAACCAAAAGACAGTAGATGATAACCAGCAAACTCAACTATAAAAGAGGGACTATTCACAAAACGACAGGAATAGAGTATTAGTAATAAAAGAAAAACATTATGAAATTAATTACAAACAAATTGTGAAACTATCACCAGAATCAGGTTTATTGCCAAGTAAATGTACACTTACAAGGAACATGCTAGACTGTATGGTGGTACTTACACAAACATTGTATAAGGAAACAAGTTGTAAGAGCAGAAATATATAATTATATTATATTATAAAAAGAAAATATAAAAAGAAAAAAGTAATATTTCTTCTACTTAATATTAAAAGAATAAAGATAACTATTTGGAAATGTGAAAAATACAGTATATAATATTTTCAATGTTATCCAAAAATGTGCAGATTCAGAGTGATACGCAGGGCTCACAATATTTCAATGAACAAAATCTTCTCACATGATGTGCAATGCATAGTATCTATGTGGTGTGTATGTGATCATCTGTACTTGTATGTAAAACCAACTTGACTTCTGTTGTGTGTTTCCTCTTTCCACAGGCCACTCAGCTGTAGTTCCAGAAACTACAAGAAGAACATCGACCGCAGCGCCTTCCAGAACAGCTGCCATCACTGCGGAAAAGCGTTCAAAAAACCCAGTCAGCTGGTTAGGCACGTACGAATACACACAGGTGAGTGAGGAGCTCAGAGAGGGGGTGACACATGTTGGTAATGTAGGGGTACAAACAGAAGAGTTGGGGGTTCTGCTTCTCAAAAATGTAATTGATGTAATAATTAAGTATTATATAACTAGAGTCTCACATTTGTCTTTCTGAAATGGACTTACTCTGATTACATTTTCCTCGATTAGCTGTCTACATAACAAAGCACCTCTTACTTCACCCTCCCTTTCTTTCCTTTTTTTTGTTTAATACCTTTAATATTGATCAGTGCACATGAAAAGAGCAGATACCCGTTTAACGTTAAGTATCATAATTAGAATATAGAAAGAAAACAACAATATAATGAAGTACTGTGCATCTGAATCGATCCAAAGAGCAACAAGCCATACTTTCTGCATTTCAAAGGCGTAATCAATCATACTCATCAAAGTTCAAAACAAAGCAAAGCAAAATGGAAAAAAAGGTCTAATCAAGAAGATAAGAATTGAAATGTTTTCTAGCTTTAGAAAGGACATTTAAGCGCTGATCCACCGAGTGACATAACTATGGTTGTACTCTACTGGAAATCAAAATGAGGCAAGATAGGGAGAGACATTTATAGTTAGTCAGAATAAGTTTGTCATAGTATGAAAGCAGACATCATTATCTAACAATCATGCTTCTATTGGCTAGCACTACATCTCAAAGTGGTTGACCAATTACAACAGAGCCGGCCAGCTAACCAATCAGAGCAGTCTGGGCTCTGGTTTCAGACAGAGGTTGAAAAGAGGTGCCGCAGCACAGGCAGTATGAGAAAAATGAAAAAGAACATTAAAGCATGTAAACATGTCACAATAGATGTAAACGAACACAAATATGAAGATGGAAATGAGTATAATAGGACCACTTTAAACAGTCCGTTCAAATGGGGAATTTTATAAAGAGCAGCATCTCACCAGTTATCCTCCTGGTTCAAACTCAGTTCACACTCCCAGGAAAATCCTTCATTTCTGAGGGACAGTACGTCCCCACTCAGCTCTACCCAGAGTATGGGTAAAACAATTATGTATTAATAAAACTAATATTCCAGTGTGGGTGAGCTCTTGTTCTGGTAAGCCTTCTGGGTTCAGGTTATATAGCCTGAACCTTCCACCCACATGTTGTTTACACATCATCCACTTGTTAATTTGTTTGGTGGCCTGGCTGGCTGCATGACTAATGACGGATGGAGTTTATTCCTCTGTACTGCAGATCTCAAACAGCCCTCAAGCTGATGAGGTTAAGAGGCGCTTTGGGACACACACACGCACACACACACACACACACACACACACACACACACACACACACACACACACACACACACACACACACACACACACACACACACACAGTCAAACTCTCTCTCTCTTTCTCAAACACAGGCATACACACACACACACACACACACACACACAC